CTGGAAAAATTGAGAGTTCACCTCCACTGCGAGAAAGCGATCAATTTTCTATGTTCTAAGCAACACCTCAGCTTATTCTCGCTTAATTGCTCGTCCAGGAAAATTTTTACGGCCACCAATATCCTCTCATTGTTTCCAATTTTTTTTAAAGAGTGAAAAACGTGCCACCATGCCGCTCCCCCCCCCCCCNCCCCCCCCCCCCCCCATCCGCAACTGCAATAGGATCGCTTCACCCGTCTTAGTCTTCTTCACCTATTGCTGTGTATATCAATTTCACTAATCGGTCTGGCGGGTGGGGAAAAACGCAAAATAGCTATCCGATACTGTGCACGAGGCGGTGGCGTATGCACGATAAGGTTCCGAGGGGGAGGGGGGGACAAACCTCCCACCGGGAGGTCTGGGGGATATGGAATACCCCCCAGGTGGAGCGGGGGGCCCGGGCAAAATTTTTCAGGATTTTAACCTCGTTAAACCCCACTTTTTAACAATTTCAGTCAGGAAAATGATAAGAAGCTCTCCATTATTTTCCCCCAAAAATACCCTAAAAAAATGGAAAACCGTTTGAACAAGACCAAATGGAATGTTTTGATTTAAGTATGAGATGGAAAAATCCACTAATTTCCTGAAGAAAAAATGAGGAAGGTAGACTCTCCAATTCCTTACGTTAAAAAACGTCCACTCGTTCCTCTAGACGAAAATATCGTCGTGTTTTCTCTCCACTCGATTTTTCTTCCTTTCCCTCAATTTCTCATCTTTTTTCTTCTCTTTTTTGGGGGTTCTGCAGGGGGTCCGGACCCCCTGCCCCCTCCCCCGTAAATACGCCACTGGCATGAGGTAGTGTGGAAGAGCGGAATTGAGAACCGTCGCACAGTGGACCGAGTCAAACACAGAGGTGGGTCATGGAATTTTTGACTAAAACTGCAAATTTTGATGTTTATTTCGTCCTATTTTAAAGTTCAAGGGGTGCTTCAGAGGGCAATTTCACGAGGAAACCAATGGAACCATCTTCAGAACCTCAAAGTTTTGTATAAACGGAGTTATAGGCGTTTAAAGTTTCTGAATTTTGTCCGACCTCTTCAATTAACTCGATTATTAACTCGTGGTCGGCAACCATGTCTAGTTTTTCCAAGGATTGGGCTCCTCGCTGTCTGGCCACGGACGTCGTCTGCTGATTCAGGGCTCTGCTTCCGTCTGACCCAATGCTGAAAGGTCCAGTTACGCGATCAAATTGAGCCATCACACTGAAGCTCTGATTCGTGGAAAAAGACCCGAGGTGAGGATGCGACCAATTAGAGGCCCAATTTGATGACTTAATTGGATCGTGTAACTGGACCTTCAAGCCTAAGCCTCAGGGCGATGACTCCTTTGGCATGCTGTATAGAGTATCTGTATAGCGAGAGTATAGACAGATGTGAAACTCCGAAAATCCATCAGGCCTTCATCGATGCCTTCCTTGAATAAAGTTAGAGCCCAGAAATGCAGCCGACCTATGAATTTCAATTGGACTACATTTTGCAATTTGGAACTATAAATTCTGGCCCGGTTTGAAAACAACGTATGTGCCATTCGTTTCCCTATGCACATAAGTCTTTTTTCAGATGAGCCAGAATTTATAGTTCCAAATTACAAAATGCAGTCCAATTATCCAGAGCGATTTCCTAATTACAATTGTTAGGAACCGTCGCTTATAAAGCACGTATTTGACTTAATTTTTGCACAAATTTACTCATTTTTGCGGAAAAACGCACATTTATGTATATTCGTGGCCATCTTGATTAGAATATTGGAATCTGCAGACTAGCAGTGAAATTTTGTGTGATAGAAGTTGGACCCGAGTTGGTCCATCACGTGCCCCTTAGTCTATAAGAATTTCCTATTTTAACCGACAGGATCGCTCCGCACTCCGAATGTCTTCTTTGTCTATTGTTTTGTCCATCAATTTTCACGGTCAGCTTGCAGGCACCGAGATATTCAAAGGACAGCCGAATCATGGAAGGTTGTCTTAAATATTTTATGTAACAAGATGGAGAAATGGTGCTGGATCCACACCATTTCGCGGGGAAATCAAAGCCAAGAACTTCCAAAAATTATAATTAGAGTCAAAAATAATTTTTTTTTAAACTCCAATGACAAAATAACTCTTTTAAAAAAATTTCAAAACCATTTATTTTTGCCTCTAATCATAATTTTTGGAACTTCTTGGTCTGATTTCCCCGCGGAATGCACTCGAAAAAAAACACATTGGATCTAGAGTCCAGACTCTTAAAAACATCGACAAGAAAAAGTACTCTTGTTTCAATCAGACTCTAGCTTAAATCAAGAACCAAGCCTCTTAATTTAAGCGGATTTCGTTTTGATTCAAGCAAGAATCCGATTGAATCAAGAGTATTTTTTCTTATCAATGTTTTCAAGAGTCTGGAATCTAGATCCAATGTATTTTTTTTTTCCAGTGTGGTGTGGACCCAGCACCATTTCTCCATCTTTTTACATACAGTATTTGGGCCACCACTTCTTAGTGTTTTTTGTTTCTCACTTTAATATTTTATTTTCTAGTTTACCGACACTGTAATTGCATGAATTACAGAATGAGAATTTTTTATCGTCTGTAATAATCATATTCCAGGCAATCCTGGCCATCTTTGACTTTGCGCGTGTCCACCAGAGGAGCCACTCGCGGACATCACTGCTGCTGTCCGCCATACCCAGTGGCCCTTCATAGGATCACCTTAGCAAGCACCATTTAGCTCTCGCTACGGTGATGACCTCTGACTTCTAACAAGCAACTACTCACGTAAGTGACTACTTACATTGAAAATGATCATTCAATGCAAATTTTAACATATCTCCTCCAAGAATTGGACACTACTCACAATGGTTACTCGCGCACAGTGGATCGAGTTAATGGGAAAGGTGGAAAGGTAGCTTAAGAATTTCTTTACGCAAATTGCAATTTTTTATGTTTATTTTGTTCAATTGTAAATTTTAAAGGATACGTCTTTAAGAGAATTTCACAAGGAAACCAATAGACCATTTTTAAAACCTCAAAGTTTAGTTTTAAAGGAGTTATAGGCTATTAAAGTTTCCACATTTTTTCCGACTTTCCCCATTGACTCGTTCTTTTGTGCAGCGGAGAAAATAATCACAACGCTGATGCCGCCGCTTTGCTGAATGTTTCTCAAGAAAAATGTGAAAATCTCTCTGCCGGCCGATTTTTGAAATTGTTAGACACAGCTGTAGACAAAGAAGATAAAAGAGATATGGAGGGATCCTGTTGGTGGAAGCGGGTGGTTGTAATGGACAAAGGAGGTAGATAATAGACCGACGAACGGCAACCCACGAGAGACCCTACAGATAGTCTAGATCATTTACCCCTTAGGGTATGATAGGATTGCGCAAATGCCCCCTTTTTACCTTTTTAGAGATGCTTAGGATTGCGCGAATTTTTCTGATACCGACTGCACATACCAAAATAAAAATTAAATATCATCAGAGTTTCTGAATCGTTGCAGAGAGGATACATATTTTCCCTTTAATTATGGTAAAAACGGGAACAGAAAGTCAAGAATGATTACACGCAGTCCTGCAACATTCCTATAGTCTTGCAGCGCTAATATGTGTTTCCGTTTCCGCACGCCAACTGATCGACTGCGGTGCGTTTGACGCAATGCGAGAAGTATTCAAGCAGTCTTGTAGGCGCTGATATGGGCTGTGCGCCGGCCGCACTGTCTGTTTGGCGCAATGTGTGAAGGCAAGCTCAAGTCTTGTAGGCGCTAACATACATTTAACGCTGGCCGCACTGTGTTTGGCACGATTATTCGCACTCGCGTTAGAATAATCGCGGCATCGAATAATAGAGCTTAAAAGGCCTACGTTGTGTTTCGACGATGTATGAGCATTCCAACGTTGCCTCGTTTCTCCCGAGTAAATATTTTTTCTGAGAAAAGTTAAGAAAGTTCTTTAAACCCACGACCATCATTCAATATTTTCACTTCATTTATCATGAGAAGGTAAGATATCGATGACCTGTCAACAAACCATAACCTCAACTAGCGTTAACATAAAAATGCGTTTATTTTCCGACTGTTTCCTGTTTTGCCAAACTTCTACCTTAAATTAATTTCATTTTAAATTCACGCATTCCTGAAGCAGATGTTAAGTTTTCTATTCGCGCAATCCTTGCGCCTATTTTGCACAATTCTCATATAGTTTCTTGGACCCTTCGCGCAATCCTGGATTACCGACCCCTTAGCCTCTAAAAATCACTAATTTCAACCAATAGGATCGCTCTATACTCTCTAGGTATATCTCATTTTTCTATCGCTTTGTCTATCAATTTCATTAAGCCCTGGATAGACGATCAAATTCCGAACCAATTCCGATCAAAGTAGACATGCTGATGACTGGTGGTCACCATCTACCATCACATTTTGACGGGCCACACTTTTTTGTTCAAAGTAAGATCAGAACGGAGTGCCACCATTCATCATTTCCTGCCACAGGAAACATTTCTGCCAAGTTTTCATTTTAAAATGAAGGAAATTAATGAGTTTAAGACTGATGACTCCCGACACTTTGATGCTACTTTGATCGGAATTGGTTCGGGAATTTGATCGTCTATCCAGGGCTATAGTCAGCCCGCAGATGAGATGAAAATTACGAGAGATGAGAGGAATCACTAGAAGGCCGAAATTTGCAAAAGAGCATTCCTTACACCTGCTAATATTTTGTCAGAAAAAAACATCAAGCTACCACCTTTCAATTTAGAGAAATCCCAAGTATGGCCTGTCAATTGGTTCAGTGAAAACATGTGCTTTCACTGAAGCAATTGACTGGTCATACTTATCGGATTGGGAGATCGGGAGAAAAAAATGAAAATTCAATAATTTTGGTGAATAAAGCTTTATAAAATATAGCTTCTAATTATATAAAAATAACCAGTTTACTAAAGTTTTAGACGAAATAAAATAAAATTTAGTGACTTACACTATATAAAACCTCAGTTACGTTTCTCTAGAATAGAGAGTTAGTAAAACAGAAAAAACAAAAGCTTGAATAAAACAGACAACAAATTCAAAGAGAAATAAACATAGTTGAATTAAAAATATGTAAAACCCACAATTTCCCAGATGGATTATTAATAAATGACCTGAAATTATGTTAGATATTAAACGGATTCTTAAAGATCAGGGACGGATTAGCCCTCTGATATGTTCAATTGGATCGGGATATGTTCCCGATATCCTTCTGTAATAATTAAGTCTATAATCAAGCTTTGAGTGACTGCTCTTCTTTTAGTGTTACAGAAAAGTATCGTGGAACTATCAGCCGTAGTGTTTAGACCCGTATCGTTCTGGCTGAGGATTTTTTCCTGTTGTCTGTGTTTGTATTGTGAGTCTTCTTCGTAGAGCAGCTCGTGGGTACGTAATTTTCCACATCATTATTCCAGTGGCGTGGCGTGTTTTGCGATAAATCGATTGCCATTTAAACCTGTGAAAAAGGATCGATAGACAAGGTGTTCGCAGAGAACATCTTAATAATCGATTCTTCACCCTAGCTTCAAATGGAAAAAATTGATGATCGATCGATCATTCACGCCTCGCCACTGCATTGTTCCTCTTGACTTCTTCATCTTTTCTTTTTATTTTCTTGGCAACGGGAATACAAACATCCTCATCTGAGCTCCAGTTTCGCGGCTGATTTCCGCATCTGACGATGCGACCATAATGGCCGCTAGTAATTTGAGGCAATTGAAAAGCTATGATTTTCCTTCATCTACGCGAGATACCACACCACATACGCCGTTCGAATAGGCACGCGGTCGATTTCCGCACCTGAAGATGCGAGCATAATGCCTACAAATTTTTTTATTTTGAGTTTCCTCGTCCAAGATCTCTGCCTTAGTAGCAGTGGCTGTTGAGAAAAGTTGTAAAAAACTCGTAAATTTTAGACAAATTTAAAATTTACTCCAAAACCGCTTGAAAATTACGTAAAAAAAACTCTTGAAATATTCGTGTCAGGAAACCCTTTTTGGGGGCTTTTTTTACATAAAATCGAAGAAAAATTTAAAGTAAATTTTTTTACGTGAATTTTAAGTAAAATTTACGTATTTTTTAATACACTTCCTGGGGGCACAAACGAGGAAAGTATAAAAGGAAAAGTTGCAGCCCATAATAATTGAGGATATAGTTTTGTTGATTTTCACGTAAATTTTACGTTATCTTTTAATTAAAATAACACTATTTTTTATTTAAGAGAATTCCCCAAAAGGGTTTCCTAAAACGAGTATTTTAAGAGTTTTTTACTTCAATTTACAAGTTTTTTACATTTTTTGACAACTTTTTGTAGAATTTGTTTTAAGAGCTAATGCTACTAGGGTGACTGTTCAGTCAAGGACGAATGGCAAGAGAATAGGAATGTTCCATTATTTTCCGACTATTTGTAGATCCTTACACTCCTATGATCTAAGTAAGCATTGCTGAATAAAAGGGAATGCGGTATGTATAAATATACTGTTACGTTTCATTGTTCACAGATTTTCATCTTGTGGTTACACTTCACGTCCTTCTTCAACCCCGTCCAAGCTGTTGCGGTTACTATGGGGCGGAAAAAAATTGACATCTGCCCCATTGTCGATCAAAGGCTGCAGCAAGTGAGCACACTTCACCCCATTTCATCTAATTGGTTCTGGGCTAATAGGCATTTACACAAAATTTGTGCGAAAGTCCAATGCTGCCTTGCGAAGGAAGAACGCCGTATGAGCATTCGAGAGTTGCCAAATTTCCTCCGATATAATGTTTATATTTTAGGAAAGTTATAAATATGTTTTCTTGAAATTTTAAGACTCTTCAGATCAATTACAAACAAAATCATCTGAGAAATTAGAAGGAAAATATTCACAAATTTTCCTAAAAATTAGTGATTTGTCTGAGGAAATTTGGCAACGCTTGAAGGTTCATACGGCGTTTTTCTCTAGCACGGCAGAATGGGTCTGTTGCACGCAAAAGATACAGCCAACTGAATACCTACACTTTCTTCACGTAAATTTGCTCGGAAATCACCCTGGGCACAACTATAATATCTGAAATCCACTCCTTAGAGCGCAATTTTCGTATTGTTTGTAACACAATTTTTCAAAACCACGTATGCGGGCAGTTTTTCTTAGTGGCCGGTAGTCAGGCTTTCCTCAAAGACAGACCTATAACCTAAATACACAAACGATCTCGCGAATTGTTATAAACTCTTCTCGCGTAAGAGTTCAATTGATTTAAAGGCTTTGTTTTTGCAAAATATAAAAAAGAAAAAAACCGACCAAAAACGATTTAAATCATACAACGGAAAAAGTTAGGGACTTCGTTTGTTTTCTCAGATTAGTTTTTCTGACTCCTATCTGTGCAAACGTTGTTTGCGGTGACTAAGAAAACTGCCCGCAGACGCGAGAAATATTAATTGATAGTTACGTTAATACCTGATATCACTGCGAAGTAAAGATCCATGAACACATCAACACCCCAGAGCAGAAAAAGTACGTGCCTACTTTTTTGGAAAGGCGAGTTAGTGTCGTTTTGGAAATCTTCGAGCATGGTCTGGCAAGTGTGGTGAATTTGATAGCCCTATCGTATGCCGGTTATGAGATAGAGAATTTCAAAAATCGCTATTTACATTTGAATCAAGGGGGCCAACGCACAATTTTTCCCGGATCTTGGAATGACTATAAATGGAGTTAGGCACCTTTTGGCTCTGGGCTACCGACAGCTAAATTTTATTTGCAGCAACTACTTTTTTTTAGTTGTTTTATTTTAGTTTAAATGAGTTGTCGACCTCCTGTGGCGTAATCTGCCGTGCTGAGGAAAACCGCCGTACGACCCTTCAGGCGTTGCCAAATTTCCGTTGGTAAATCTCGAATTTTCGGGGAAATTTGTGAATATTTTCCTCCAATTTCTCAGATACTTTTCTTAGCATTTTTACCTAATGTTCCTGAAAAGTTCAAGGGAAAATGGTCATTACTTTCTTCAAAAGTAGGCAACTATATTCTGAGAGGGAATTTTGCGACTCTCGAATGTTCATACGGCGTTTTTCCTTTGCTTAGCCAGTGTTCGGTATGTCTCACGTTCGTTTCACAATTGGGTTTCAAAGTTTTGTTTTTCTGCTGGTCTACTGGCTTGCATTCTGTTAAGAACCTACAAACTTCTTACGACTCTATTTGGACTGCATTTTGCAATTTGGACCTATAAATCATGGCTCATCATCTGAAAAAAACACTTATGTGCATAGGAAAACTAATGGTACAGACGTTGTTTTTAAACCGGGCCGGAATTTATAGGTCCAAATTGCAAAATGTAGTCCATTTAATGTCCTGAAACATGAAGGGATGTTGAACCTTCCATCGTTAACTTTCCTCATTTTTTTTCTTTTTTCTATTTTCTAGGTATGTTTCATCAAACGGAAGTTCGGAGTTATGAAGAAAATCCACGAGCTTAGTGTGCTCTGTGATTGTGACATTGCCCTCGTAATCTTCACCAAGTCGAACAAATTGTACGAGTTCGCTAGCTCAGATATGAATGAGATCTTATTGAAATATGCAGAAAACGACGATAAGCCATATGAATCGTACACAAATAAAACTATAATTGAGGTAATTTTTAAATTTGATTTATGGTCCTGATGAGTATTAAACGGTTACGGCACGGTACAGTAAAGTGTAGGTATTCCAGCGGCCTGATTATTAAAACTATGTCGACGTCGACCCGACACGAAAATACATTACCCTATCTTAACCAATCCTAAGGGAATCTCCACTCTCTTAGGGATCATGAAAAACAACTTAATCAGCCAAAATTCACATAATAAAATAACAACTTAATCTGGGGAAAAGGCTGCAAAAAACAGCAAAAGTTTTTTTGTTGTTGGGCAGCCTTTGTGTATTTCTTGAAACGGCTTTCCAAAGTCTTCATTAGTGGTGCTCTTGCTTTTTCTTAAAGCCCAAGATTAATGATGACAATAAATGGAATACATTTTGCAATTAGGAACTATAAATTCTAGCCCGGCTTAAAAACAACGTATGTGCCATTAGTTTCCCTATGCACAAAAGTGTTTTTTTCAGATGAGCCAGAATTTATGGCTCCAAATTGCAAAATGCAGTCCAAAATGTCTCCTGTAGATCATACAAAAACCTGTAATATGCCACGATATATGCTGTGATATTATTAAAAAATTTTACCTCTTTCCTAGAACTTAAACAGTCGATACGGTAGTGCTCAGAACTCGTGCTCAAACAAGTGTGATCTCACTGAAAGTTTAAGCGGGGACTCAAGTAGCTACAATGGAGGATGCCTTATGGCTTACGGTGGTAGCTCATCTACAATCCAGCAAAACCATGACATCTCATCTTCATCTCTAATTTCTTCACGCGCATGTAATGAATCTCGGGTCATAGTAAGTTAAATGTTTCTCTTAATTTTTTTAAGAGATAATTCTCTACTTTTGTGAAAGTTTAAATACATGTTCCTGAAAAATAAACCACACGAAACAAATAAAGCCATAAAAAAACGATATAACCCATGGTAGGTTTGATTTTTTAAATCCTTTTTTGTAGTGAAATCCAAAGGAACGAGTGTTTCAATTGTATCTAAAAATTAAGAAACGCTACGTCCAGCGCGGCTAAGATAAATTTTGAAAAGAGAGAATATGTCACCTCTGTCCTACTACTCCGGCATGCTTAGGAAAAACGTCGTATGAACCTACAGGCGTTGCCAAATTTCCTTTGAAATAACACGAATGTCCTGGTAAACTTATGAATATTTTCCTTCCGATTTTTTTAGACAATTTGGCTCGCAATTTAATCTAAAATATCTGAAAATTTCAAGGGAAAATATGCACAGCTTTCTTCAAAAATACATTTACAAGGGAAAGGAGGCGCGTTGATGACGGCGCAGGGATACAACTATTCGTACATGATGGATGTCCGTGTTGCATCTGCAAAATTGAAGGCGCTATGGCGCGAGGCGTGAACGCTTTACTCTATGCTGCTAAAGAGGTGTCGCTCAGATTGGGGAGGAAAACTTAAAAAAAACGAGGCCCAATTACACGTTTCCTATAGACGCTTGTGTTGCTTACGTAGGCCCTGAAGCACCACTACAAGCACTAGTAAGACTAACGAGAACAAACACAGTATGAGAATAGAGCTAGGTAAAGGAGGCGCATTGATGACGGCGCAGAGATACGACTATTCGTACATGATGGATGTCCTTGTTGCATCTGCAAAATTGAAGGCGCTTTGGCACGAGACGCGAACTCGCAGTGCTCTGCTCTACGCTACCAAAGAGGTGTCGCTCAGATTCGGGAGAAAAAGTTAAAAAACAAGGCTTGACTACGTCTCTCCTTTCTTCGGCTGTGTTGATCCTAGATGTTTCCTTTTTAATGTCTGATTTTTTTAACGATTTTTTTGCAAACCTACATCCAAGGCTTGTATATACCGGTCCCTTACAACCCGCGGCCGCGGGGTACGTGTTATACGCAGCAACTGTAAGCCTCGGGTCTTTTCACCCGGCTTCAGCATCTTGAGGTATATTTTCATTAACCTTAAGATTCTGAAGCCGAGTGAAAAGACAAACATTAAAATGACTGCATCTTGCTCGCCAAAAACTTAGGATTCAACAGCGAAGCTGAAAGAGGTCATTCGGTCGGTGAATTTCAATAAAAAATTAGGTTTAATCTCGCAAAATTACGCTCCAATGGTGCGGTCACGTCCAAAAACAATGTCATTGCCGAAAAAAATGGACGTATTTATGCTAAAAGGCGAACGATGGGCACAGGGTTTGTGTGCAACATAGTTCTTTTTAGCATAAATACGTCCATATAGTTGTTAAATGGGACTTCTTGCTTTAGATTTATGAGGTATTTAATATATTTGTATTCCTATCTCTTTATTTTTACTTTTCTTACCTACTACCTGGTGACTCCTTCGTAAATTAACCTCGTACTTCCTAAATGTGATGGTTGTTTTCTGATGAAGTATAAAAGATCTTTTTGGCTGGCATACTTCTTGGGTTCATGAGCCCGTAAATGATGCACATTTTCATACTTTCAGATTTTAAAAGCAGTATTTTAGGTCGCAAGCTCTGACTCGGTTCTCCTGGAAATTATGGTGAATGGCTGCGTCCAGTAGCTTTGATTTTATATTTCTTTTTCATTTCACAAGTCTTCCGGTTACTTCAGGATCTTCAATTTCGCAATTTTTACTCAGCTCGATTGATTACATATTTGAATCTGAAAATAGCGTAAAATTGCGTTGATTTGCTAAGTATCTGGACCTCCCTCCCTCCACCTTGTCCCCCCCCCCACACACCAACTGGACAAAATATCGCATTACGCCCCTTCAGCCGGCTGAGGACCTACGCCCTCAGATGTGAGCCAGTCCGGCCGTGAGTTGGTAGTGTATAATAAGACGAAATTCGGAGATTTTGCCGCTATAAGTGTATTTTGCATTTGCACACACGGATAATTATCCAGTATTGTTAATTCCTGTGTACCGAAGGCTTTTCAGTCATGAGGAAAATTATTGTGAATCAACTTTTTTTTTTTTTTTTTTTTTTTTTTTTTTTTTTTAGCAGAGTCGTTGAGAGCTTCGACCATTCACTTAGGCACCACCACAGGTTTCTCTGTCTCCAGACGAATAATGATGAGATCACAAATCCCATTTCCTGATATTTAGGTCACAATCAATGTCTGTCTGTTTTACAGGATGAGCCACTCGGTCAATCTAATGTAGGTTATCAGAACCAGCCCTCATACAATATTGATAACTCCGCAACTTCAAATGGGAACTCAAATGGCTACAGTGAAGCTTACTTTACGACTTACGATGTTAGCTCATCTACATGCCAGCAAAACCATGACATCTCACCATTACCTATAGTTCCTTCATGCGTATTTGATGAGTCTCAGGTCAAAGTAAGTGAAATGTAACTCTTCGTTCTTATCACATCTATAACCACCCTTTGGTTCAAACCCAGCAGCGTGTGATTCGTGGCCGTTGCCCGTGCCAGGGTTGCCACAGTCAGGGAAACCGGGAATACCGGGAAATGTCAGGGAAAATGACGAAAATGTCAGGAAAAATTTGTTACATCGCCTTCATTTGCTTTCTAGAATGGGTTTGAGGTTTCGAACGACACATTTTACCTAAAAACTATTTTCAATTATCCCTTCTTAGCCACCCGTCACATCTCCAATTGTCAGGGAATTTCACCAAAATGTGTCAGGAAAATGTCAGGGAATTTCATTTTCTAAATTCTGTGGCAATCCTGGGTGCTTAAAAAAGTGCACCGTGGTCAAAACTTTGATTCCATAGAAAGACCTCGAACTTAAGTTAAGAAATTCTTCTCCTGAACCCCCAAAAATTGCTAAATTACGGTGACAAATCACCAAATTTGTAAAATCAACCCGGTGTTCTTAATCTATTTTGATGAGTTGTCACCTTTTTTCACTATTACATGTGTTGATTTTAGCAGTTTTTTTTTCAGTGTATGTCATTTTTTGTGCACTTACGGCTTTTTATACGTCTCGTTTTCATTAAATTAGGATGAATTTCGCTGGTTTAGCTGTCTCAGTAATTTCATCCAAAAGAGTTTAGACGAATTTTGAAGAAAACTCGATTTCGAAAATTTTGCACTTACGGCTCTCTTCGCTATCACGGCAGAGTGGTCCCACTACTTTCTCTTCTACCGCAAAAATAATAAAGAAATTAAATACCTTTCCTGTAGATCATATTTGTGGCATTCCATTTGTGAGAATAATAACTGTTATTTCCGTCCGGTCTATAGGATAGTTCAGGAAGTCAATCTGGTAGAGGTTATCAGAACCAGCCCTCATACAATATTAATAACTCTGCAACTTCAAGTAGAAACTCAAGTAGGAAGTCAAGCATTGAAAGCATTGAAGCTCGCATTGTAAGCCTCATGACTTACGATGAAATCTCATCTACATCCCAGCAAAACCATGACACCTTATCATTACCTCTGATTTCTCCATGTGCATTTGATGATTTTCAGGTCAAAGTAAGTGAAATTTTTCTCCTCACTTTTATCACACACATAACCACCTTTTAGTTCAAACTCAGCACCGTGTATTTGTGTGGTCGTTGCCCTTGCTTGGGAAAGTGCTCCGTAGTCAAAACTTTGATTAATCGCAGAAAATTCGAGCGGATGTTTAAATTTTTTCACCTGTATCCTAAATAGAGATCTCGGGAATATAACTCTACTCGAATGGCAGGACCTACCGTAAGAAATGCGTTAGGCTTAGTTTTCAGTTACTTTCCTTACTAAAACGAAAGGAAGATTTAGTGAAAATAGAGGAAAATGAGACCTTGGATTGAATATGGTCATTTCGGCCAGAGATGAAACAGCCTTTAGAGACCGTAGGAGACCCAATATATTTTTCAAAAAATCAGCCATACGCAATACTTTTTTCCCCTTTTTTTGTAAACGAATTAAGAATCTAATAATTCTCTCTTTGAAATTTCAAACGAGGGGATTGGAAGACAAGAAAAATAAGTACAGTTTTGGAAACGAAAATTAAGCTCCGTATACAGCAATTCTACTTTAAAAGTTAGATCATCAGACAAGGCAACCTTGGTGCATTTGTTGAAACGTCATTCTGTGTCTTCATCAGTAGTACCAATACTTTCGCTTATAGCGCAAGAATAATACAGATGTTAAATGCCCCTCCTATCCCAAGTAGCATTTTTCAACGGAAAAATCGGGATGTATTGAGATTTTATCGGCCATAAAATCGCTAGGATCATCAAAATCTGAGCGATTATCCACGATCCTATCGGGATAAAGTCGCACCGCGCAATTTATCGCAATATTTTCGAAATAAAAATCGCGATAAATGGCGACCTAATCTTGATTTTATCGACGAAAATTTGATCGCCATTTTATCAAACTAAAAATTGCGATGTGTAAGGATTCAATCACCATATATCGCAATTTATAATGCGATAATATCTCAATATATTGCCACCGATATAATCCGATAATCAACCGATGAAATCGCTATTTTTCGCGATCACTGCTACTCGGGATAGAGCATACCTCTAACATTCCAGCTGTGAGGTTAATAACCGTTTCCGTTCGTTTTATAGGATAGCTCAAGCAGTCAATGTCGCAGAGGTTATCAGAACCAGTCCTCATACAATAGTGGTAACTCTGCAATTCTAAATGGAAACTCAAGTTGCTACAGTGGAGCGTGCCTTGCGACTTATGATGGTAGCTCATCTTCATCCAAGGCAAACCATAACGTATCATCTTCATCTCTAATACCCTCGTGTGTATTTGATGAGTCTCAAGTCAAAGTAAGTGAAATGTTTCTCTCCACTTTTTTCACATCCATAACCACCTTTGAATTCAAAGCAACGAGTTATTTGAGGCCGTTGCCTGAGCTCAAAACAGTGTTCTGAAGGTAAAACTTTGATTTCACGGCAATCACGGGAGAAATTCGGACGGATGTTCAGAACTTTTCACCTGAAACATAAATGGAGATCTCGAGAAAATAAATCTTCGAATTGCAGGGATAGAGCTAATGAAGATGAATGCATTGCGTTTAATTTTGGTTACTTTACTTTGTAAAGTACCAAGAAGATTCAATGGACTTGGAAGGACCTTAGATAGAACTTGGTTATTCCGGCGAGGTTAATCAGTCATCGAAAGCTGGGAGAGCTCGAACTATATATTCAAAAAATCAGCTAAAAGACAGGTTTTTTTCATTTTTTTTCAAATGAATTGATGGTCCTAGTTGATAGGTATTTACTTTTGATTAGGAGGCTTTGAAGACAAAGAATAAGTGCAGACTTTGAAAAGATCAGGATTTGAATGATTCCAATGGGAAAAGTGACAATCCTCTTAGACGTGTAGACAGTATATTTTCCTTGAATACATATCTTTTTATTTATTTAAATGAGATAATATAATCCATGCCGAGTGTGCGGACATTTCAAAATCATGAGTTGATTAAAAGCGCTGAATCCACGAGTTTAAATGTTAGAGCTGAACACAGGAGCGGTGTACTGCGAGCGCGAGACCTGCAGTCGCGCACTGGCGCCTACAAACCTAACAAGGATACTTCACGCATTGCGCAATGCGTGTAGTATCCCTGTTAGGTTTGTAGGCGCCACGCTGCAGCCAGCGTGCCACGGCACGCGGCGCCTCAAGCAACTATTTCACCACAAAGGTGTTGGACAGTATCATACGAAATTGAAGGAGCTGTAACGTACTAAGAATGGCAGACATCCTTTAGGAGTCCGGAGCTTTCCTCGGAAAATAAATCAAGATACTACGGCACAAAAAGAGAGCGGTAGCCCAAAAAACTCCTAGCAGTATCCGTATTTAATAACTTTTAATATAAGGTTTGAATTTCATTAAACAAAAAGGTGACTCGATTTAGGCAGAAACACTCGCGAGTTTGCAGTTAAGAAAGATTTTATTTTGAGTCAAGAACAAAATCCCTTTAAAATATGGCATCCATCATGATACGTTGGGGTGCCTTCAGTCTCGTATGATACTCTGCAACACCTTTGATGAGTCTCAGGTCAAAGTAAGTGAGATGTTTCTCCCCACTCTTTTTCACATCCATAACCACCTTTGAATTCAAAGCAACGAGTTATTTGAGGCCGTTACCTGAGCTCAAAACAGTGTTCTAAAGGCAGAACTTTGATTTCACGGCAATTCACGGGAGAAATTCGGACGGATGTTCAGAACTTTTCACCTGAAACATAAATGGAGATCTCGAGAAAATAAATCTTCGAATTGCAGGGATAGAGCTAATGAAGATGAATGCATTGCGTTTAATTTTGGTTACTTTACTTTGTAAAGTCCCAAGAAGATTCAATGGACTTGGAAGAACTTTAGATAGAACTTGGTTATTCCGGCGAGGTATGAATCAGTCATCGAAAGCTGGAAGAGATCAAACTATACATTCATAAAATCAGCTAAAAGATAGGTTTTTTCATTTTTTTTTTCAAATGAATTGATGGTCCTAGTTGATAGGTATTTACTCTTAAATAGGAGGCTTTGAAGACAAATAGGATGAGTGCAGACTTTGAAAAAATCAGGATTTTAATGATTCCAATAGGAGAACGTGACAATCCTCTTAGACGTGTGCCCTTTTGATCGCTTGAGAGACCTCCAACATTTTTTTGAGCTCGCCCACTCGGGAGAGCTCTTTGCGATCGATTTCTTTTAGCATTGGTAGTGTCCGTGGCGACGGATGGATGGTTCTCGTTGCCGTCGGAGGAACGGCCAAAATCCCATTGATTTCAAGGTCTAAAAGTTGAATTTTCGCGGGTTACAGTTTTCCTCCGTCGAACATTTCCGTTCCCTCATTCAACTGAGGATTAATTGTTCCTCGTTTGCTACACTAGAGAGCAGCACTTTCCAGTGGCCGAGCATATCATAGCATGTTGCTATGGTTTTATATCAAACTAGTCGTGATTAGCTCGCTTTGCGAGCTGACACGTCTAGCCGTGGAGTGCCCCTGGACCCCAGTTCTACGCTTCGCGACGAACTTGCGACTCGCTCCGCGAGCCACCACCGCCCCGCACAGTTTTTAACATTGATGAGGAGACAACATCTATGTCTTAATCTTCTTTTTCACCAAGTTGTACAGAAATTGATGTTCTAGGAGTCCGGACCGCGTTTTCGTGCGGGGCCGCCATCTTGGATTTGGAAATGTTGAAAATCGGACCTAAAATTCTAATTTCCCGTCGAAATACACCTCCTAATAACGAATTTCACAAAAATTGATGGATCGGAAGCCAAGATAGCAATTTAGACAACGTTCGTCATCTTGGATTTTTGAATTTTGAAAACCGGACCTTAAATTCTAATTTCCCATCGAAATATACCCCCTAATACCGAATTTCACAAAAATCGATGGATATCCGGAAGCGATATAGCATTTTAAGCCGCGGCCGCCATCTTGGATTTTGAAATTTTGAAAATCTAACCAAAAATTCGAGTTCCCCGTCGAAAAGTACCCTCGATCTCCGAGTTTCACAAAAATCGATCAAACAGGAGCCGACTCAGCATTTTAGGCCATGGCCGCCATCTTGGATTTGGAAATTTTGAAAATCTGACCAAAAATTCGAGTTTCTCGTCGAAAAATACCCGAGGATACCGAGTTTCACGAAAATCGATAGAACAGGAGCCGACGTAGCATTTTAGGCCACGGCCGCCATCTTTTGGATTTGAAAATTTTGAAAATCCGACCGAAAATTCGAGTTTCTCGTCGAAAAGTACCCCTGATTACCGAGTTTCACGAAAATCGATATAACAGAAGCCGACTGAGCATTTTAGGCCACGGCCGCCATCTTGGATTTTGAAATTTTGAAAATCTGACCAAAAATTCGAGTTTCTCGTCGAAAAATACCCCTGGTTACCGAGTTTCACGAAAATCGATCGAACAGGAGCCGACTTAGCATTATAGGCCACGTCCGCCATCTTGGATTTTGAGATTTTGAAAATCCGACCAAAAATTCGAGATCCCCGTCGAAAAGTACCCCCGGATACCGAGTTTCACGAAAATCGATCGAACAGGAGCCGACTTAGCATT